ATAATAAGAATAATGAATTATAAGTTAACATATTTAGATGTTAACAACTAAATAATACAAAATGAAAGTAGAATGTAAGTAGTAACAGAATTTAAGGAAGTAATTTAGCCAGATGCAGAACATGCTTCCCTAATTAGATGTCTTAATCAGATTAGATGTCCAGTCGGGTAAGTAAAATTCTCTTTCACTTGCCCCTTCAGAAATAAAATGTAACCCTCCAAAGTGTCTAGTGGGAGTGACCATGTTACCCGCCACTGCTCAAATTAATGTCAAGCCCTGACTGTGTATTAGAAAACATCAAAATTTCAGTTCTAAAAGAAAAGGACTGGCCTGCATGTTTGCACACAGATCATCCCGATAGCACACGTACATCTCAGAGACGTCTATTTGACGTGTTTTTTAGAGTGTTTGTTCATCTGCAATACGTCTATAGGACGTTTCCCATCAGATGTCAAATAGACGTTCAGAAGAGTGCATCCCAATTTGTCTACAATTTGTACTGTATAGTATGCAAGATTAGGGATATTGCATCCTTAAATGAAGTACACTGATAAAAGTTTGCCAAATGTGCCTGGATGGTGTGCTGTTTCTGAAATAAACAATGCATGTAAAACTGACATCTTAAAGACGTCTGTCAGATGTTTGTACACAGCAGATGCTTTCCAGATGAAGCGATCTTTAACAGACGTACGTGTGCTATCTGGGTCAGAATCATTCTCTCGCTCACCTCTAGCTGCATTATAAGAAAATGCTCTGAGGTCTGAAGATGCCGTTTTTTTGTTGGTAGTGTCTCAATCCTGCTCTCACTACATACTCACTGTTTGAAAGTAAGTACTTGAATGTGCAAAGCAGAACTTGATGAACTGTGATGCATCCAGTGCTTTCTCTCTCTCTCTGTACAGTGATCTGTATGTTCAGGAGACTTCTCTCTCTGCTGTGGGACTGAAGCGGTTTTGCTGGTACCTGTTCTTCAGGATGGATCCTGCTCTTCTGAGCACGAGTGAGATGAACTGAAAAACCTTCCAGACAAAAAAAAAAAGCTGTTCCTTTTCTACCTGGGTGCCACTTCCCGATCAATTCCCCTTAAAAACAACGTTAGCTCTCAGAAAATCCAGTGTGTGTGTGTGTTTGTGAATCCAGACGTCAGGACGGTTAGTGACGTGCTTCGACTCAAATACATCTCGTCCTTTTGCATTGCAAGCTGTCGACGACCCATAATGCACTAGACTAGATTTAATGTCTTCGATCATTCCATGAACTCAGCCGAACGACGTCGGCAGTCCTGAATCCATGTGTGATACATGATAGATTTTTATTGTGTGTACATCTGAGATGTTCAGAGTTAAAATATGTGATCAAAGGAATAGGTTTGAGACTGAAAGCATTACTGCAGATGATTGAAAACATATCATGTGATGCTGGAAGCTGCAACATATCAGCATCACCTATGAATCCAGCCTCAATCATGTGAGTCCTGTCTTTTTCCATCAGTCACGTAGTCATTTCTCCTTTTTGTATATTTCGTTCTCTGTATTTTTTCATAAGTCAAATGAATTTTGTTGGTCTAGTATACTGTTTTAGATCGTCTTCATTAAAACATGCTGAATTCGCTCTATTCAGGTCAACACACTGCAGAACATCATTCAATCAACATGTTTGTCTTGTTTTTAAATACAATTCCTAAGCATCATTAAAATGAGATGCATTTACTTAAAAACCTAATATTAAGATTTTTTGAGAACATATATCTTGATTTTTTTCCTTCATTGGCAAATTGTTTTCTTCTTTTTCTTCTTCTTATTATTATTTAAAATAATTGTATTAAATATATTATTTAAAAAATCCATATTGGTTCAAGGAAAAGTTTCCAATATATTTTTTCTTCTAAAATAAGGTTTTATTTATTGTCATCTTTCATCTACATAATTGTATGGATGTCTATTACAATTTTATAATTTAGAATAATTTTTGACTTTATTGGTAAATTGTTTTTTATTTCTTATATTAAGCAATTATTATTATTATTATTATTTTTATTGCTAAAAATCTTTTTATAAAAAATATGAATAATTTCATTTTATAATGTATAATTATAATTTATAATGTAGTTTTTTACTTTATTGGCAAATAGTTTTTGATATCTTATTTTAAGCAATTATTATTATTAATTATTTTAAATATTATTATTAAATATTATTATGTTTATTTTAAAAACATGTATACATTTTTTATAAATTAATATTGTTTTATAATTATAATTTATCATAGGTTTTTGTAACTTAAGCCCCCACTACACAACTTTTGCCCTGATTTACAGTCTGGTGAAGTCAACGCAAGTTGCTAAAAGTCAGAGTCAGTCTGCAGATTCGAGTTGACAGATTTCATAGTTTTGCTTTGTTGATGTCTTGTGTTTTAAACATCTGTTCAGATTTGAAAAGTCGTGTGGTGTATTCCAGCCTTTATTCTAAGTTATTATTATTATCATTGCCAATGAAGTATGAAAAATACTTGATTCAAGATATCAGAATATTTTGCATCTCAAATAAATGCATCTTATTTTAATCATGTTTGAAAACCATGCATTTCTATGGTGCACTGAGCGCTGTCTAGAGTCATTATTATTCGGACAGATTTTGTGAGCGAGAGGAAGCGATAGAGAGTGACTGTACAGTATGTTTTAGTCATTCAGCATGAAATCATTGATGTTGTCTGTGTTTGTGATTAAAACACTAAACACACTGAACTGTCGAAACGGCCCACGCTTCATTTCAGCTTTTACGACCTTGTCATTCTGCTTTTTTAAGCTTTATTCCATTTCGAGGAATATCGCTTTTCTTTTCAAATAATGTTTTATTTATTGTCATCTATTATCTATGTCATTTTATGGATGTCTATGAAAACGTTATAGTCTTTTTTTTTTTTTTTTTACATTTTTATGTTTTTTGTTTGTTTGTTTATTAAGGCTAATTTCAGATGTGCTAAATATCATAATATATATACGACATTTATATATACATATGTATATAATCAATCTCTTGAGGGAATGTTTTGGTTCAGTATAAGTTCAATACAGCATCTATGACATGAAAATAATTCTGAAAAAAAAATCACATTTACAATAATGCAAAATGGAATAAAAAATTGGACATAATTTTAAGATTTTATTTATATGTATTCAATTCTAGTGGCAGTACTTTCAAAATTGTTAATGTCTGTTTTAAGTGCATTAATGTAAATGTGTGTTTGTGTTTCCTCTGTGAGTTGGAAATTATACTTTTTATCCAACTGCATCATTTCTTTAATGTTCAGTTTGGGTTTTACAAAATAAAATTTACTATTTTATTTAAATATTAAAATGTCAGCAATGAAATCCTCAATATTATCAAAATCAATCCTATTTCTCACGTTTCATGAGGCGAGTCTTTGTAGTATAATGTACGATATGTTTTAAAGCGTAATAATGTACTATATGTGTGAAGTAATGAGAGTTTTATTTTTCGGCCTGCATGTCGTTCGGGACGCTTGGTTTGTAGCTCTTCAGACATCTGGTGTGAAGCTGTATTGTATAATGTGTGTGTATGAGAGTGTTTGACTGTACTCTATATATTTTGGGTTATTCGTTTGAGGAAAGTCTGTGCTGTACTTTAGGCTTTGTCATTTCTGCAGCTCTTTTCTGGTGAGACTCGGTGCATGTGAACCAAACCAAGTATAAGCGTCTGTAAGTGTCCGTCTCTCACACTAATGTGTGTTTGTACAGATCATTAGCTGCTAATGATGATGTAAACATCAATACAAACCATACCAATAAAGCCTATATGGAAAATACACTTTTCTTTTCACTCTGGGATTTTGCTTTTAAATATGATTTACTGTATATTATGCTTTGGTTGTGAGTGGATCTGTTTCCTCTCGGGTCTAAATCCATGTTTAGTGTATTCTGGGTAAAAACAAATGACATGCAAAGAGTGTCGGCCACATTTATGGATTTTACAGCATTCGAGTTTACATGCTTCTAGACACAGTACAGTTTTTTTAAATGTACAACTAATAGGATAATTTGCTTTACATTAATTCGATTTTGAAGGGAAATTGTCATGTGCATAAAAACAGTCAAATCCAAAAACAGGATTCAATTTCTTTATGCAAAATAATGTTTATTTCTTTTGATTTTGGAGTGAAATATGACTTCAATATAATTAATTTTTCTTTCAGTTTATTTCATTTCAGTTTCCGTTTATTATTATTATTATTATTTAAATGTTTTGAAACCTGCCATGATGAATTATAAGTAATATCTGCTTCTCATACTGGTCTAATCAGACTGATACTAATCATTTAACCCTGGAGCTAACATCGTTTGTTTTTAATGCTTTTCTTGTCATCGTTTTATTTTTCATGCATGCTTGTGTTTTGATTGCGAAGTGTTCTTTTCATCTTTTCGACCTGAAGAAACCAGCCGCTGATGAAACATCACAGGAAAATCACTAAAAACTCCAGCAAAATGTAAGATTTTCCGTGAATAATCCGTTAAATAATATGCTGATTTGCTGCTCAAGAAACATTTCTGATTATTATCAATGTTGAAAACTGTTGTGCTGCTTCATATTTTTGTGGAAACCGTGATACCTTTTATTTTTCAGGATTCACAGATGAATAGAAAGTTCAAAAGAACAGCGTTTATTTGAAATCGAAATCTTTCGTGACATTATAAATGTCTTTACTGTCACTTTTGTTCAATTTAATGCATGCTTGCTGAATAAAAGTATTAAATTATCAAAAAAAATAAATAAATAAAAGAGCAGTACTGTCTGGCGCTTTTATCAGTAATGATAGCTGATGCCAAACCTTCAGGTTGACTTTTGCAGGCTGAATATTTTCTAAAAGCATGTGTGTTGGGCCTGTAGTGTGTTGATTAATGAGACTCAGACTCAGCGCTCACACACTTCCTGCAGCAGAGACTGCAAACACACATCAAATAACCAAACAAGTACACTGAAAAAAGATTTTCAAGCAGTACTTCATCCAATTAATCATTTGTCTTTCAATTAAATTTACCATTATTTGTTTTATTTTCAAAGTAATTTTTTTTAGTTAAAAACATTGATAAATTTTATTTAAATTAATTGACTTTCTTCAACAAGAAAAATATTCTTTGTGCCAGGTTTTATAAAATAGTTTTCATAGACATAGAAAATATTATTTTTCATTGGCTCAAGTTATAAAATATAGATGTGATTCATTACCCAATTTTTTTTTTAATTTTTAATTTTACAGTGTACATGTAACGTGTAACAAGGACACCTTAAAATAAAGTATTACCCAGAATTATAATATAATATTAAAATATAAATTACAATATTTTCATAATAGAAGTGCAACATGTATTTTTTTTTAAACCGAACCACAAAATTAATTCATATTGCTGTCAGATTACAGATTTTTAGTGTTTTATGTTTTTACAATTTGTAATTTGTTTCAATAGTTATAATTATATAAGTATAGTTTTTTACTCTATTGGTAAATAGTTATTTTTTATTTCTAATTTTAAGCAATTATTATTATCATTTACAGTGATTGTATAAACAATACTTTTTCCCCCATGACTATTTCTTATTCATAATACAAGTGTATAATATAAATATATATATATTTTTTTTTATATTGCTGTTAGATTACAGATTTTCCTTCAGTTATTTTTCTGTTTTAATGTTTGTAACGATCATTTTGTATCAGTTTTTTTTATTTATTATTACAATCAATTATTCTTATTAGCATTGCCAGTGAAGTATGAATAATATATGAATAAAAATTATGGTATTTTACCCATGTTTCTTACTTGTAATAGAAGTACAATATGTATTTTTTTATATATATTGCTGTCAGATTACAGATTGTCCTTCAATGTCTTTGTTTTAATGTTTGTTTTTTAATGTTTTTTTTTTTTTTAATTTAAGTAATTTCTATTATTATTATCATTGTCAGTGCAGTATGAAAACTACTTTTTAATTGTACCTATAATGAAATGTTCTGTCCATGATGTGACGTCATAGTGGATCATTTGTGTACATGTTTATTTTTGATGCATAATTGACGCAATAGGTTAGTATTCACAATTCAAGCATCATTTTATTTTTAATTTGAAAATGTTGATAATTACAAATAGATTGTGTGTGTGTGTGTGTGTGTGTGTGTGTGTGTGTGTGTTCACAGCGAACCTCCAGATCAGCATTCATGAAAATTCATAGAGACACATGAGGTGTGTATGACCATAACGAACCTACACGTATTAAAAAAAAACAATGCAAAACAAAACAAAAACAAAAAAAATCCCAATGCATTTAAAATCAAATAAATAGTGCCGTAACAGATGAGCTCTTGTCTGGTATTGAGTTGTTGCTGATCTGTTAGTCTCACACTATAGCTTCCACATGAGTGTATTTGTTATTTGATGTGTTTGGGAAGGCGGGACTTCCTGTCTGCTGCAAATATCACTTCCTCCTCCCATAGTGTCACACAGACAGGAATAGAAAGCTCTGATATCAGACTCAACTAGCGGCTTCATCACGGTTAAACACTTACAACTAGTACAGTCTGTCTAGTAGCTCGATTTCACAACTTTGCTGTAAAGTACAGTCTCAAGAAAACGTGGTTATACAATATTTCATCCAAAAAAACATATATATCAAATTCATGAAAATGTCATGAAGATACTGCAGAAATCAATGTCAAAATCAAAGTGAATGCAAAAAAAATATTTTTGAGTATTTCATAATATTTTTAAAAATAAAACAAAAGAAAAATTTAAGGGGGTCTGAATACTTTCCGTACCCACTGTATATATATATATATATATATATATATTTATATTACACAAATAAAACTGAGAATGTTAGTGGCACGACATGTAGAGGGAGACAAGATGAGTGACAGGTGAGGGCTGGTTGTCATGGTTACAGGTTTTGGCAGCACTGCAGTTTGTTGCCCTTCTGGCCATCTGTAGTCGGCGGGACGCTGATGTCCACTACGTTGTTTCCCGGCGACTCGTCATGAGCCGATCGGTCAGCGATTTGCTTCTGTGATACAATGCGATAAATTTCTACAGATGCAGGAGAAACAGAGAGAGAAAGAGTAAGAGAACGAATGCAGATTATTGCCAATAAAACAGAGAGTTTACGATCTGCTGTAAAATCGGACTGGATGAGCCTCGTTCAAAGTCACTGTCAAATAGCTTGATATAACCTGCTAAACTGTTGTTCCCTTTCAGTCGGTCACTCTCGACGTCACGTCGGATGACCGACGAATTGGGATCTCGCTTAGAGGGACCAATCTACTTCGAGTGTAAACTAAACGAGCCAATGCACATTGGCATGCGATTATTGCATCCAGCTGCTGCTGATCACAGCGTGAGTATAAGTAGGCAGCAGATGCAACGCATATTCAGCTTTTCGCTTC